CCATTGCTAACACTTGGTAACTTAGACAAGCAAGTGCTGCTGAAATATAGCCGCCAACCAGCTATTGATCGCAGTGCTATGTACGCCATTATTGTCGCATGCATCAGACCTTTATTTTGTTACTATTGTGTATTTTGAATGTTATATGTTTGTGATGTGGCCGTACTCCTTCGAATAAATAAATAAATAAATAAATATTGATTACATTATATTAATCTAAGTATGAGTTGCAGGGTATACTTGCCAGTTGGCAAATAGCACTGCAGTACCAAAACTTTTATAACTTTTTAGACGTATTGGAGTTAAGAAATATTTTAAATTTAAAGTTTTACGTCGCTATTTCTTCACCACTGTGATTATCGACATACAATTTAACAAAACATTAGAGTTTTTTTAATGGGGAAAATCATTCAATGAATTTTTCAGCCTTGCGTGAGGCGAGGAGGTTCCTACTCCTGCACTTCGAGCCGGAACAGATAAGTCCTCCGCGACACCGTATCAGCATCAGCCCATAATCTCCCAAGGGGTAGACAGAAGTACACATATTCAATAATTACCCACTTTTCACCAGTTATGTGAGAGCAATGCCCGTTTTTATCAACCTCACTTAAATTTTAAGGAACTCCCAAGCTAAGATAGGAGACAAGAAAAAATAGTTTGGTTTTCACAACGATTTGTAAGAACTAAAATACTTTACATTTACGTTAGGTTTAGGTGGCACTTACGGGTGTAAATGACACCTGAATGCAAAGTTAAAAGGTTATTTTAGGTGCTCACGCTAAGTAGGTAATAACTCTTAGTTAAGACGTCCCCGCTAAATAATCAAATATTAGAAAAATATTTTCAGTATTTGTTTATTTTTTCTCGGTTCCTTATTGTTGAAATTAAATCATATATCAAAAGTTGTAATAATGTCCTAAGTTTCTTCAATCCTTTCGAGGAAAAAGACACGTTGATATTTATGATAAACTATGCAGAAAGAATTTCAACCCAAATTCGTATGAATAAGGTATGGAATTGAAATAACTCGATTTGGCCACGATTGCCTGTCAAGTTGTCAGAAAAGTCTGGAGGCCGATGTTTGAGACAGATATGTCCTTGATCGGAGACCACGAATTGGCAAAAATAGAGCATGACACAATATGTGCTAGATTCTAGTTGAGCAGGCGACCTCAAAAATGTATTTAGAATTACGTGACTCTTTTTGGTGAGATCTCAAAATGTATTTAGAAATTAAGTTAGGTACATACCTATTTTTGGTGAGCCGGTCTAATGATTCGAATCAACATGCTAAGCAAAATATCATATATTGATATCAAAAATTGTCCACATATTAAATTAGTAACATAGCTAATGATCACAGTCAAAGTCAGAGCATTTAATTCAATTAAACCATAATTTGTTACTTTTGAAACGTCAACAAATACATAATAAATATTAGTCCGTCACCCAGTGAAGCTAGGTGCTAGTTCCAAAATGTAGAATTGAATGGAGAAGAACGAGCAAGAAACTCCATTCGTTATTCTTTAAAAAAGAGTTTTTGTTAGATATAATGTTTTTGTGCTGGAGACAAATAGTTCAATTACTATTCGAGTACTTAGTGATACAAATAGGGATGCACAAATTGCACATTATACAACAAAATTATTCAAGAACACAACTGTTCCTATACCTACACATTATAATTTCATTATTCAATCTACATTCCATGCTAGGCAGCGTACCCTCAGCACAGGATATGGAAATCATTACGTCCATGCCTCATTCAATGATCCTAGAAATTAAATCCTATGTCGGTTGCGACGCTTGAACTAAACATGAGATAGCAATTCATACTTGGATCAAAATGTAAAGATTTATTTTAATTAGACCAAAATGGTACGTGTGGATTAAAAAATTAAAATGTCTGTCTATTAAGAGGCCAACGGTTCCTTAGTTAAATCATAAGCTCGTCCATGAGTTTCAATTCCCTTTGACAAAATACGATTTAAGGATGATAAATTATGAACTATAAAATTTATAAAATCACAAATGTGTGTACACCTAATTACATACATAACATCACGCCTTTTATTCCCAAAGACGTGGGCAAGGTGCATATTACGGCACTTAATGCCACTGTACAATGTAACACCCACTTTTCACTATTTATGTTATGAGTCCCATGTAATAGGGGGTGAGGCTATTGTCATATACCAAGCATATTTCCAGTTTCCGTGCTACCACTGAAATTTGTTTTAAAAACCCACTGAAACTTTGCTCGATTCGGGAATCGCCAACCTAATTTGACTACTCGATATTAGTGTTTTCATTTGAAAATTAGCCTTTATAAGAATTCCGTCACCAATAAGATGAAGTCATTCTACGTTAAATAAGTTTTATTAAAAATCTCACGAACATGAATTGTATGATTTCATTGTTTGTATAGCTGGCCCGGCTTAGAACCTGGATTCGTGATTTCTCGACAACAACAATAATAAATAAACGGCCATTGTCTATTTACTATTCACAATACTAATACGGAATCACTGTGAGTGTGGAGTTAGGCAAAAAAATGCAAGACTAAAAAAAAGAAACAAGACATACATATAACACATATAATACAAGTAGTTGATTTACAATATACGATATTATTTATACGGTATTGAAGATACCATTACAAGTCGAGACAAGGAAAAGGTATTTGCGTGTTAATACAAAAGAAAATCTATCTCATTCTGAAAGATGAAGTTCTAAAATGGGGCTGAATATAAAACAAGAAAAATTAAGATTAAGAACTATCTCTAACAGAAGTTAACTAAAGTTCTCTTAAACCTTAGTGCCAATTAGCGACACTGTTGCCGAGTGTTGCCAACTAAAGTAAATGTCCTTTAAAAACCAAACGCAAACCACAGCACACGGACAAAAGCACTTGTACAAAGGTTTCCCTAGAGGGACGAATCCTTACAAACCATTTATTATAACACCAAAAATTGTACAAAAGTCTTTCACCTTTGATTCCCTTTCCAAACTTCACACAAACTCTCAAAATTGTATCCGAGCACAACAATTAAGCCGCTTTTTATTCACCATCCGCCATCTTTGCTAATCGTTAAAACTGTCAGAATTCCTTCAAGTTTGTCGGGAACCCTTCGAATGCGGTCCGCGTCCCTTATGTCACACAATTACGCAAGGGATCCCTATTTACATATATTATGCGGGGAATTTACACTGACATTATCTCGGAACCCATCTTGCCTGCTTAGTCAGTTAATAGTTAGTGTTAGGGTCTGTGTACACCGCAGGCGTTTAGCGTGGGTACATTTGTGGTGCCTTCCTATTACTGAGTGGTTGACGTGATGATGAATAGTGTGTAACCTTCGTCAGGCATCGGGTTAGCTTAGTTACGAAAAAATGGATTAGTTTTAGAAATTCATTCGTCGAAAATAATTAAGAGGCTTATACTAATTAACAAACTATGTGTGTTAGGTGCTTTTGAAATGATATCTGTTTTTCTCAATAGGAGAGTATGCCTACATAATTTCAGATTTATTATTTCAAATATTAATATTAAAATACTTTGCTAGGTTTCAAAATAAAACCTGGGTTGAATTGCGACTATTTATTTATATCTTCTCTTGCTGTCACAAGTACATAGGGAATTTGCAAAAAGTAAAAAAGCTTATTGTGAAGACGCGAACATGTGGAACAAGCTTTATATTTTCAAGAACAATTTACAAGAAACCATTAGAAGTTTGTGTCTAGAGTGACCTTATATAACTGCTATATACTAAGGGACAGCTGTATTAGTACATAACTATGATAAAGTATTGATCTCCAGAGTAGACCCTTATGTTACGTCCAGAACATCACTGAAATTCCTTCAACATAGTAATGAACGTATTTGCAATATTATTCAGGAGTATATACTAATACTACAGAGCAGCACTTTCACATGTCAATTTTTCAAGCGAACGATGAGGCTGACATTTCCTAACTGATCCGAGAAGAAATGCCGAAACTAACTTAGAAGTCTATGTGTGAGTTCCGTGCAAGTTCTTTCTATAATATTTTACGTATTAGCATGTAATTTGTAATCGGACATCGATTAAACCACGCATGCTGGATATAAGTGGGCTGATCTGAAATTCAATGTGGATGGCCTATGTTAGGCAGTGAACGTGTGGCTGATATTATGCTGTTAATGAACCATAACTTAAAAAAATATAAGAAAACATACATACTAATAATATAACTTAGTAATCTTGAACTTAATTCCCATTGAGAAGATATCAGTTGCATCCTGCTTATTAATTGCATATCGCACCTAAAAATACCTGTTTAATTAATGTTTATGCATTTTCCTTCCGTGTATTTGTTTATTAAGTTTATTAATAACATATTATTGCAATAATTAGAAGCTTATACATAAACGTTATGACTTTTTTTTCTAGGATGGATAAAATTTTTACCACTGTGAAAGACGTGAGATGGTCGCTGCAGCGCGACAGTCACTGCAGCGCGGATCGCGGAATGCTGCTCATGAAAATGAGCCTCTAGCATGGCTTGAAACTAGTCGAGTTCCTCGTGAAACAGTTACGGGAGTAAGCCGAAAACATAATAATAGATCTGTGAAAGATTTTTATAAGGTTGACAACGAGCAAGAAATATCGACAGCTGTTTTTTGTTTATAATCTAGATTTGTATTATTTAAAAGGCTGGCAACGTACTTTTAACTCCTTTCGTGTTACAGATATCTAAAAGGTATACCGACATCTAACCATCTAAAAAAACCAAACCGTAATTTTCTGACGTCAGCAATAACAAAAGAATAGCGTTACAACACATTGCTCAGTGAAAACTATAATCTAGACGCGCACGAAAATTGTCCCAAGTTCGCAGTCATAGCGGTTGTGTGTAGAATTTGCAAAATATTTGCGTGTTACCAGTCGCATGCGCAGGCCGGTACAGTACGTTTACGTTATCGTCAACGTAACCTGTTTTATTAATTTCCGATAGTAATGTTATTTAATATTTTCAACTTAGGCAGTATGCGTGTGTGGTACCTCCTGTCTTTGCTGTTTGGACACTGCGTCTGCAAAGTCTATTTCGATAAACTTGGTGAGTTTATTTTTTTTAATGCTAACGTTAAAAATAGGGATGGTAATTTTATACAAAAAGGTTTTACCTACATATTTATATGGCCTTCAAGTTATTTACGTGATATTTAAACGGTGGTTAATTTCTTTTTTAGAGTTAGTTTGATTTCAGAATTTATGAAATAAAAATATTTAAGGGGTGTTTAAATAGTTTATTGGATGACTTCATCGTTTATACATTTGTGTAAAAGTAGTTTAGGTGATGTGAAATGTGTAAAATGGGGGTGAGCCTATTGCGATATACCGGGCACAATTCCGAACTCCGTGCTACTACTGAGATTTTTTTAAAACCCAGTAATACTTTACCCAACACGGTAAACGAACCCGAGACCCCTTGCTCGGCACTCGGCCAACGAGACAGTCTACTAAAATATTATAATATTTAAATATTAAAAAATAATATGACACGAAGGACGAAATTGATACATCATCAAACAGTCACTGCTGACTCTTTTAGTAAACTGAAGTCTTTGGTAATTAAGACATATATTTCCTAGAATTAACACAAATCTATTTATATATTGAATTGTCTCCCAACAGTGGCCGACAGTGTCGTAATTACATCTGGGATGACATAGGACGACCCCGAAACTAATTTATAGGTCACTATTCCTATCTCCAGCTATATTTGTAGGTGTTATAGTGGTATTTTGACCGTAATTGGTTTAATGGCTAACCATAATTGAGCTAATGATAAATTGTGATTTGTCTTTTTCTTTGTAGAACATGATATTAGGTTTAATTTTAAAGAAAAGTTTATACGATAGATAAATAGCGGGATACTGAAACGCTATTCAATTTTAAGTCGTACTTAAGTATAGTTCTATCTCTACAAATTCTTTGTAAAATGAAAGAGATGGCACGATATTTGAGCACGACTTAAAATTGAGTAACATTTCAGTATTCCGGCATTAGCCTAATAATTAGTCGCGGAGAACCTAACGGGTAACCGGGGCTCCGGCTCGACGTGCAGGAGAAGGAGCGGAATGGTTTTTAGTCAGTAAGAGTCTGACACTCCCTCCCGCCTCACCCAGGCGGGAGCAGTCATTCGATGATTTTCCCCCCTTAAAAAAATCCTAATAATTAAGAAAATATCAATGTACTGTTAGTTAGAACTTCAACATAGTTGCAAATTAGATTCTAGCCAAAACGAAGTATTATTAACGTTGAAGATCATCTATCGATTGTCTCTGTAGACAAGTCTTGTGATATTATATTATGTTTAATATTTAACATCAGTCTTGAACAGTTATCAGTAGCGTACAGTAGTTAAATCTATATAGATAAATAAAATTAGAGTGTCTATTTGTATTACTGAAATAGGTAACCGCTTTTTACTACATGCATACTACATACGATATACCAAAATAATGCTTTTTGAAATTTTTGTCTGTCTGTCTGTTTGTACTAGCTAATCTCTGAGATGGCAGGACCGATTTTGACGGGACTTTTTATTGTTATGTAGCTAATATTCTAAACATTAACATAGGTTTTTATGTTAGACAAAACGCAGGCGAAGTTGCGGTTTCAGCTCATCATTAAATTTGTTATTTTAATCTAATTTTCTCTGAAAGCAAGCAAAAACCATAACAAAAGCTATTACTAAATAAAATTAACATGAAAGGATGTTCACGTAATTTGATTTAGTTTGTAAAAATGTTGACAAATCCTGAAGTTACGAAAACAATTGAATTATAATAAAAACATGAGGTTTTTGATAACCAATAGACAATAGACATTACGCAATTATTACGTAAGGGTGAAGACCTTCAAGATATTGAAAAATAATAGATAAACAGTGGGTAAATAATATGTAAATATATAAATGGATAACTAGTTGTTGCCCGCGACTTATCCACGTAGAATATGATTCCTGTTTTATCCCATAAAAGTATTTAATTTTGAGTACCGTCATTAGAGACACAATTAAAGAACAATAGGTTGCGGTCACCGGTGTCCTCGCGTTGTTTGACAGTTTAATCGAGATAAAAATCCTTATCACTTAGGTGATCAGCCACCAAATTTCACCAAATTTCATAAATAAATTTAGTAGTTTCAGCGTGATTGTGCAACAAGTGACAAGTGATTCTTCTGTAAGTTTCTGCGCACACAAGTACTGTTAATATTTTGATACTGGTAGAATAATCCAAATGTCATAAACTATTGTACACTTTGTAGGTATATTACTATGCTACTATTATTATAATATAACATCTATTGTCAACATGTAACAAATAATAAATGAATTTGAATTTGAAGAAAATACAGATATCATTTAAAGTAAAAAGTTTAACAGCTTCGAAAAGTCAACGTCCTCCATTTTTGATTCTAAAATGATGTTTTAAGTTTTAATTCGGGACGAAAACATTTTACATAAAAATCTTCAAAACAGTTGGGTAAGAGAATTGAATTAATCTGAGCTTAAGTGCGCAGGTAAGTGGGATCCCAGCATATATTAGTGACTTGTCCCTTTATGGGAGGGAGGGCAGAAATGGTCAACGAAGTTTTGTATGATTGGACTTGTTGTAAATGTATATTCTGACTTTGTATTTAATTTTGATTAAGTAACATTTATTATTTTATTATGATTATGACTTTTTATGACTTATTATGGTTATGACTTTGTATTTAATTTTGATTATTTAAGATTTAAAAAATGACTCCGACTCCTAAATATCACAAAATATAACAATTTCAATTATACTTTTATATTGTATTGCGTTTGACATCGATTTTTTTGTAGGCTACTTATATTTGTTATTTCTACGAATAACATTTTAAAGTGTGCTACCTCCAAAAATTATATTGTTGTGCCCGACAGGGTCTACATTATGTCCTAATTATGTTTACCATATAAGTAATACATGTGGAAAGCAATAAAGTATTGAGTGTTGAGTTAATGTAACTGCAGGGCATAGAGCTTGTATGAAATTTTTGGATCAAGCAATTTATTGTATTCATGTGCACATGTGTGTTACGCAAGTACATAAGTTTGGAATTCAGTAAAAATAGCGAAAATGGATGTTAAAAATACATGTAGGTACCTACTTCTATTTTACCGCTTTCGAAAAACAATACCTCAAGCTCGGATCGTCTTCTTTGTCATAACATAACTGAATTTTGAAGTAGACACGAACAAAAAATTTAAACCACACTGACAACCCTTTGAAATATAAAACGCGTGATGTTGCTATACAGAGCAGATTACCAAATCTGCCCCTCTGGGGAGGGTGGGGAAAAAATGATAAACGAAGTTTTGTCCGATATCAAAAATTCCACGATAAATATTTATGAGGGCGAGGTGTTTTATACCAACAAAACACCCTTTTATAGTCGTTCATTCAATTCGCTTGGCGATTGTTTTTCCCTTTTTAAATAGGTTATTATCGTGGCGTGTCACTCTGACCCGTTTTGTAAATTCTAATTCTTTTTTTCGACGCGGCGCGATGAGGGTTCGGTGCGGCGTAATGGAGTATTTTCCGCTTAATTTTCAGCTAATGATTTTGATACTTACTCAGCATTTTGGATGATCGTAGATTTTATTTTGGTTGTGATTTTAATGCGTAAGTGTTGGAGAGCCATGCTTTGGCACAAATGAGCCGGCTCGACCGGAGTAATACCACGGCCTCGCAGAAAACCGACGTGAAGCAACGCTTGCGTTGTGTTTCGTCGTGTGAGTGAGGTTACTGGAGGCCCAAAAAAGGGGAGGATCCCCTTCCCCAATCTCCCCAATCCTTGAATCCTCCACAATCCTCAAATTCCCAATTCCCAATTCCCAAAAGGCCGTTAGCGCACCTGCAACGCCTCTGGTGTTCCAGGTGTCCATGGGCGATGCCGATTGCTTACCATCAGGTGATCCGTCTGCTCGTTTACCGGCTTATGCCATAAAAAAATGCATGTTTTATGATTTTTTTGTCAAAAAATCTGTTCCAACACTGGTTTTGGACATAATCACAAGTTAAAGACGTGTGCAACTGTGCTCATCGCATATAATTTGTACGTGTATACAGAGTTAAACTAAATTGCATTACATTGTGTTCCTGATTACAATCTCAGATTGTCTCGGTACCTTGCTATACCGCTATTATGCGTATAATTTGACACCTATAGTCTTCTAATGGTTACTGCAGAAGAGAGAAGCTCAATAGTCTTTCAGTTCTTAGGTAGAGATGTTGTAGGCATTTCTTGCAAAAAAATATTTTTTATATTACTATGGTATTTATAGCATTAACTCGTCGAGTACCGTATTTATAGACACAATTAAAGAACAATAGGTTGCGGTCACCGGTGACCGCTTGGTGTTTGACAGTTTAAACATGTTTTTTCTCATCTGTCAAAACGGCAAACAAAATTATAGGTACCTATACAAAGTAGATATTCAAAGTCAAAGCATTTAATTCAATTAATCCTTAATAAGACACTTTTGAAACGTCAAAATAAGAGTTGTCCGTCCGTCTGTCAGTGAAGCTAGGCGCTCGTTCCAAAGTGTAGTTTTGAATGGAGAAGAACGAGCAAGAAACTCCATATAGAAAAGTAGGGTGTACCTATATTTCTCTTATCTATCTTAGCTATATTAAGTAGCCATACATTTTTATGCAACCTAAAATATTCCAGTCCCTAATATCAGATTGCAAACACCTGAAACCTCAAACACTTAAAAAACAAAAATCTAGTAGGTAAGCAAAGAACAATATCGAAATGTGTTTGTACAACAAACATTATAATGTAAGTAGTGTACCAGACAAGCATATCACTTACATTGGTCAATGTTGACGCTACACATGCTAGGGCGCCCACTACTTGCGCACACGAAGCGCGTGTCAAGTGTCTAAGTCACTAAGACGGTATTGTGTAAGAAATGTTAGAAGGAAGTGAATGTAAATCGATATGTTTAGTGTGGGAGTTTAAGATTATTTGATTTTGTTTGTTTGTCTTGATGAATTCGTTTTAGAGAGTAATTTTCTGTTACACACTTCAGCGTCAAAATGAAACACAAACTTGATCCGAAAATCATTTAAAAATTTACAGAATTTGCTCATAATTATTGTACGGTCGTGGTGGCCCGGAGGTTTAAGACGCCCACTTCTCAGGCATGAGAGTGCGGGTTTGAAACCTACTAATAGAAACCTGAGCTTATAATTTATAATTAGGTATAAGTTTTCAAATCTCCAACCCGCATTGAGCAAGCGTGGTGATTAACGCTCAAACCTTCTCCGTGTGAGAAGAGGCTTTGCTCAGCAGTGGGCATTTATAGGTTGTTGATGATGATGATTATATGAGATTAGTTTTTGTCTTGGTAGCTTGAGATTGAGACAGTGAGCTCTGAATTAATTTAAATTTTAAGTTGTATATATTTATTCATAATATTATGTTAGTTCTTATAATAACTGTCGTGAGACATATCTACTAAAATAACTAAAATCGCGGGTTACTCAGCGGGTTACCAGTGAGCTGTGCGACGTCGCCGCGCACGCGCTGCTCATGAGTAAGAACCCCTCTGTGGTTCGAAACTAGTAGAGCTTTTCTCAGTATGTTCACGTGAGTAACCCGCGATTTTAGTAAATTTATTATGTTAGTTAGTGTATCTATTATCTGTAAGCAATATTGTTTAGGTTCAGGATTACGATATTATTATTTTTTACACTTTAACGTGACTTTTTAGCATTAGGACTTAAATTAGGACGTACTGTGTTCTTGTAACCTATTTACTGAAATAAATTTTTACTCTACACGACGCAACCTCCTTTTCTAAAGAAGATACTACAAATACAGCATTAATATAAAAATACTCAGAATGAATATAATCATCCGTTTGTAAGCACATCCGTTTCCTATAACAAATAAGAGACGCAACAGTACGGCGATACAATGGCCCCCCTCCCCCCTACCCCATCTACAGGAGGTTACAATATGTATACAATTTATACAGAGTGTTCGCAATCCGATAGCTCAATAGATTGTTTGTTGTAAGCGATCATTTGACCCCTTTGATAGGTGTTGTATTGTATGCTATTAGAGATTTCTTATATGTGGATGGTTTTAGTTTTGTGTGATTCTGAGGTCCTCAGTACAGAAGGTAGGTGTCACTATTAGGACTTTGGGGTGGACAAAACAGTTCTAGATTTATTTATTTATTTATTTCAATTAAATAGTATAATATTACAGTCATAAAACCAAGGCGGTAAACATTTAAAATAATTATAAAAACAAAACAAAACAGATACAGATACATATACTGATACAGTGGTTATAAGATTAACTTTTATTGATACAACAATGCAATTATTTTCTATATAAGACTCTATTTATTCATTCTAACATACACCTCAGTTACCTTAAAACAACAGTATCTGCCCTATTATAAAATTTAAATAAAAAATACTCAACAAACAGAAAACCAATCTCCAAGTTATTAGAAGCAAATTTGACCTTCTATTCCAAATTATTCTTTGCACGACTCCTTTTGGGACACTCTGTATACTTATACAGCGATGTTTTGTTGACATTTTTTTAATACTTTCATCGTTATTACCTACTTTCATTTCTTGTACATAGCTTTCTTGGTGTGTGTGTGTTTGTCTTTTGTCAAATTTTCGTTTTTAAAAAAGGAATCTTTTTTTTTCGTTAAGGAAAATTCAATTTTATTGGTTCTGTATTTGACCTTTTTGGTTATGATAGCTGTTACTGATATAGTAATTGCCACTCTCGAAGCAAAAAGTCGTTGATTTCCTTCGAATAAAATGATTTAGTTTTTGAGTCTCAACAGATTTCAATAGAAACTGTTTGTAATGAGTTAATATACTCATTATTCTCTCGACTTCTCGCAATCGTCACGAGTCAATCCGAAACACGAACCACGAAACAATACTTAAACAAAACTTAAGAAACATGCTGATTAATCGAACCGCATCACCGCCAGAACCAATTTGCGTCAAACATAATTTCCTTAATCCCTTTTTAAATGATATAGAGAAGATCCCTCAATTTCAGAATCGAATTTTTGCTCCTCTGAAGAATGTGGTACACGTCTCGGCAATACTACGGGTGGCTTTAAGATTTTACATCTAAATGTAAGAAGTCTAGGTAAAGTTCTTAATTTTGACAAATTCATAAAATTACTAAACCAGCAATATTACTGAGGTTACAGTAGCCACAATAATGTATCGTTCGTAATTAACAGCTTAGATTTTAACTTAAAGCCACACCGTAGTAGGCTTTAATGTATGAAACTACATTAAATAGTAGTGGAATAAAAGCCATTGGAAAGGGAAGAGAAAATAACCAAAACATGAAAAAATAAATGACGGGTGATCAGGGGGTCGTGAAATAAATGGGTGGCTGTTAGAAGACATATAATCAGTTTCTCGGGATTAGCACAAGAATTACTTATAGGTTCAACAGAAAAAAGTTCAATGGCAAAGTTGTAGATGCACGGTTAGTGCGGTGGCTGGGTAACTGACTGCCACGCAAAGTGTTGCGGGTTTGATTCCCGTACGGAACTCTTTGTGTGATCCACAGATTGTTGTTCCGGGTCTGAGTGTGATGTGTATGAGAACTTGTACATTTGTTTGTAAACACACCCACGACACAGGATAATATCCTTGGGGCAAAGTTTAAAAAAAAGGATACTAAAAAGATCTACAACTATCAATGGGTTTCATTCTACTACTATTTAATAACGTTTCCGACCGTTAATGACGATTTTCTCTGGTCTATAGTATTCGTGGGTAACATTTGGATCGTGACATGTTACTCTACCTGTTGGAAGTCAGCGTAATTATATTCAGCCAGCAATGTTAACCGACTAATGTAAAAAACATCGCCATAATTAGAATGCTGCCTGAAATCTAGCCATAACTATTACTAATATTCATAACGACGTCCATCTCGATCGCATAGCTTCCTAAATAGCACCATGAGATTAAAGCTTTATCACCTTTCCGATGCATTAGTCGGTTTCTCAATCAGTGGCCTTTTTGGCACAGACAATAAAAAGGTTGAAATAAATTAGCAACTTGATTAATATAAAAAAACAATCTACATGGAAACATGGGACTCGTAACATAAATAGTGAAAAGTGGGTGTTAAATTGTACAGTGGCATGAGTTGCCGTAATGTGCACCTCTGCCTACCCCTCCGAGGATAAAAGGCGTTGTGTTATGTTAATATTCATATTTATTAGATTAAATAGCAACTTCGGCTAGGATGGGACAGAAGTGATCTCGATGCTCAGCCTCTAATTTCTAATAAAGCAGGTTTACCGATAAAAAGGATAATCTTCTATTTATACCACAAATACATACCTCTAATATATACAAGAATCCAGTCACAATATACTTATTTATACAGTATAAAAGTATTCGATACAGTCGTTAACCTGAGACCTCCCTCCCTCCCTCTACTTCTATTGTCCCCAAAGCGTCTAGACAAGTTAATTTTAGTCCAGGATTAGATATCCCAAAATAAATCTCCACACTATTATTAAAGTCTTGTGTCAACTCTGAAGATATTATTAAATATACGTTGGGTAATAAATAAAGTGCTGTGCTCGTGTACGAGGTTAGAAGAATGCTGTATTAATAGATATAGTGTTGAGCGGATGATTCTTTTAATTAATTGAAACTTAAAATGAAATAATTAACCATAGATAGACATTCGCTCGCACGTCCACTTACAGATCATATCTGGCGAATGAACGCGTCGCGCCCCTGTGAACGCACTATTAAATGCATTTTTATCAATTTTACTACATTTCTTGACATTTTTATTGATTTAAAACTAATTCAGTTTATTTACATACATATATCAGCAGATTCGTAGCTTTAAATCATTAAGCTTTGTGAGCAAAACGAAATACAATAATACTATGCCCAGTTCGAAAATCAAGTTAAAGTGTTTCATTTTCTGATTCTACCGGCAATGTGTACCCAATAATGAATCACGGTACATTTCGGTAATCCATAAATAATGAACCATTTCTGTTATTTCCAGACCGCTACATAATATCCTGTCACACGACGGACTTCGAGTGCTTCAAGCGGCAGTACAAGGCGCTGCGGGACAATGTGTTACTGGGCAACGACAGGCTGGGCATTCCCACCTATGAACATTATGTCTTTGCTTACGGAGGAGGCACCTGCGTCAAGCTGACAGGCTTGGAAGAAAGTGAACTGGCTGCCATCAAGTGAGTTGAGGAAATCATGTTGTTTTTTTTTTGTTTTTATGTGTTACCAGCAGCTGTAGCCAAATGCCATTTACCGCTTGTCTACATGTAGAATAGAAAACAAAATTAGTGTCATCCCCATACATTTAGTTTTCTACTCTCTCTGTAGACAAGCGCTGAAGTAGCGTTTGGCTAAAGGCACTGGGCACCTACTCTTGAATCCAATACCGGTCGATCGACATTGAAATTGTGAAATTTCGTGGTCTCGAGTTGCAACACTAGCGCCCATTGCATCCATATTGCGTGGATATTTCATGAACTAAATAGTATTGACTTTGGCTTTATATTCCTTACTCTGATTGTTACTTTGACAGCTACGATAAGGGTTGTATAGTTTTGACATTAGATAATTATTAACATTTTATTAGAATGAAATTGCATTGACATTGAGATTGGTTTCAAGAGTAAGCACCCTGATAGTAAGTAATGAGATTCGCCTTTTGTAGCACCAAATTTCAAAGTGCGTTGCCTAAATGTAGTAGAGGGTGATTGTATAGTCCCAAATTAAATAATTTAAGCCTATCCCACGTCGCGGAGAACCTAACGGGTTACCGGGGCTCCGGCTCGAAGCGCAGGAGAAAAAACGGGGAGGTTTTTAGTCAGTAAGAGTCTGATACTCCCTTCCGCCTCACCCAGGCGGGAGAAGACATTCGATGATTTTCCCCCCTTAAAAAAATCCCACTGTAAAAGTAGTGTAAAGAAATTACTAATTTGTCATTAAAAGAATTACTTCATTTTTTACACATCCCCATAATATTATTAAATCTTTCAGATTTGAAAGCGAGCAGAAGAAATTGACGCTGGTGCTGGAACTGCCGCTGAGGATCCAACAGGTCAAGGACACTATCAAAATGTGTGCCAGACCTGATCGAGGTAAGTCACATTCTTGTCCAACAAAAAAATCCTTAATATTTGTAGTAACATAGCTTTTAAGCCTTTATTTTTCTGTAATGCTAAGTGGAAACTACGACTTAACATGAAAGACGTAAAGTGCATTGTGCAGTTCATCTCTACTGCTTTAGTAATAAAATAAAAAATATTATCTTATCTTACAAAATAAGTGACCAACGTCTTATGACCGACAAAAATGGAACATAATGTTGTTATATAACAATTTCTTTTTCAGTATAAAATTTAAGTATAGTCAACGTTACTTATTATTCAATTATCTACCTTATATAATGTATTAAATAAACTATAAGAGAAGATAAATAAATAAACCGTATTGTATACAAGCTGATTTCAGATGAAAGTAAAATAATAATACTGTGTTGTTAACCTATAAATATTTATTATAATTTATTTATAATAATATAATTCGGTATAAATATTTATTGTTTCAGAATTCAACATCGTTCAGCCGCAAAAGAGTGAGTTTGTTTTGATTATATGCTATTATAGAAATATATCATTCATTCAAATATCAAGAATAGATACCGGGCATATATACTATGTACCGGGTCTGGGTGTAATGTGTATGTGAACTTGTATGTTTGTGTGCACCCACAACACAGTATAAAATCCCAGTGTGGGGCAACATATTTATTTAAAAAAAAGAAGAAAACAATAACAATAACAAACTAACAAATAACTTGTATATGTACAATATGTACAACCTAAATAGTTTAATATGAATATATCTTTTAATAGTTCTGTTATTAAACTACTTTTAAAAAGACCGACTTCAACCTCACCCCATCTGTTTTTCTCCCAAGTTTATAACAAACACTGCTGAAAACCGCATTAAAATCAGTTCAGGTAATCGCACTCAAACATACAAGTAAAATAGAGAACCTCCTTTTTTGAAGTCGGTTATAAAACATAACATAGATGTTCGATCACTATTTAATGTATTTTCAGGTCCTCTGATGAGATTTACTGGAAATGGTAAGTGATGTTGATTGATATTTAACATTATTTATATCTAACATTAAATATGTTTACTTTTAACAAACCAGTCGCAATTTGCTTTAGAATTTCTACAAACTTTTCACTATTTGATAAATATCTTATGTATATACCATATATATATATTTAATCTAGTTTAATCGCTAATAGTGGCTAAACGTCGACCTATCGAATACATAAAAAATGCTTTAATTTTGAATCTTATCCACAACTATTCAACCAATCCTGCAGCTCATACAATGCCTATACTCTACATACATACACACAAAGTACATACATATATTACACACCATTACACACACCTCCAGTACACGTGGACTTAAAATAATTGGTCACCACGACCGTTCAATACCCACCACAGCTCGGAGAGCTCTCCAGGGTCATTGTTAAATAACCCATTGTTTGGACCAGTCCTTCAGCCAATTTGTAAAGATTACCTCTTGATATAAGACGTGATACGAAGAGCAGTGTTCGAGGGTCTACCTATAGTCATGTTGAGGTCCTCCAAAGTTACATCCTTGATCTTTTGAGGATGTTAGGGGTGTTTGATTACATGGTTTGTGGAAAAGAGCAGCTACATACAATCTTTGATTAAAGATAATACCTGAGTATTTTTATCAGTTTTAAATTATTAAATAAACACATCCCCTGTTATTAAACTGGATTTTTAACATATTCTAGCTTCTACCCCCAATTCGTACGTGCGCAATCTCGTTTCTTCTCGTTGCCGTTCGTGATTTTTGGTAAAAAGTCAAATAAAGTATTGGATAAAAGTATCCTACGTGTAAAACTATCCGTCTCCTGGTTCTAAGCTACCTTCCCACCAATTTTGTCCAAATCGATTTAGCCGTTCTTGAGTTATAAGTACTGTAATTAACACGACTTTCTTTTATATGTATAGATGCAAGCACTTTTACCTACCTCTATGTTATATCTGTCTTATTTTAAGACTAGCTACTTCCGCGCGGTTTCACTCGCTCTGCTCGGCGCCTATTAATCGTAGCGTGATGTTTTATAGCCTATAGCCTACCTCGATAAATGGGCTATCCAACACAGAAAGATTTTTTCAAATCGGACCCGTAGTTTCTGAGATTAGCGCGTTCAAACAAACAAACTCTACAGCTTTATTTAATAGTATAAGATAAGATAAGAATAGTATAAGAATGTAAGATATATATAATATTACAACACTTTTCTTTGAGTAGAAATGGTACCTAGAAGAAGAAGTAAATTAACTCTGTCTAATCCTACCATTGATAAATTAAAAGCTCAAAACCAAATTGTGCATGTCCAACAATACAAGTAAATAAATAAATTACAGCTCCTAATAGAATGCAATGAACTGCATATTTATTGAAAACTTCAACATTGAACATTTGTTTACGAAGCGACAATTATTCCAGTCGGATTGCCATTGTCAATATTTCATTTACTCTTAATTAACAGAATCAACTATCCACCGTCACAGAGCTAAAATTATTGGGAATGTAATGTTTTTGTTGCTAATATTTGTGTAGTATGTTATACGTATATTGTGTTTATTTTGTCACACCATAATTAAGTAGTACAAAATTCGATATTAACTTGTGTTTGATGTTTCAGTTGGACTATTAACTAACTCATCAGTTTATATTATTGCAACTTTATAATATTGTCAGTGTTAACATAACATAACATAACATCACGCCTTTTATCCCCGAAGGGGTAGGCAGAGGTGGTGAGGCACCGTTGTGTATGAAGCATATTAAATAAATAAATAATAAAAATAAATCTAAGAAATCTTGCTTTCTTTTTGCAGCAACTATAGGAATAACATATCCATATAAGCTAAAGAAGAAGAAGGGCATGGTGTACCTGCAGCTGGAAGACGAGAACCTGGACGTGATCCTCGACATCCCGGACCTGAGCCACTTCCATCTCAATAGTGAAGTTGAAGGTTATTACAGGAATTATGTTTTATACCTATTTGTTGTTTATGGAATGAACGACAGATCACCTGATGGCAAGCAATCACCCATGAAAACCTGGAGTTGCCAGTGCGTGGCTACGCACTGGTAACTCTAGTAGTAGTCTTCTAGTGTGTGCACCACAGACCACACTCAATAGGGCTGATGCCAATACGGAACCAATAGTGCAGAAGTAGGAAGGTGATTTTTAGTCAGGGACAGTCTGACACTCGCTCTCGCCTTACCCGGGCGGGAGAAGTCATTGGAAGATTATCCCACCACAAAATAAAGAGGTGTGTATGTGATATAACACAAGCGTTATATCAAGCTGGTTTTTCTGTGGAGTCGTGGTGTCTGATCGAACCGGGTCATTCCTGCCGAAAAATGATTCTCCCATTCGAGAACCTTATTTTGTGTATAGATCTAAAAATAATCTGGCATTTTTATAAATTTGGCTATACAAAATTCACAATTGTAGGATGTTTGCTTTCGACACACGGCTTCCTTCGCGTGGGATGTAGATTTTTTCTGATTTTCATATTATTTTGGAGTTGTTGACCTTCAATTATGAATTATTTATTAAAAGTAACAAGATTAAGTTTAATTTCTTTCTAATTATTTCTTCAGCCAAGTTGTACGAATGGTCGGAGTGGGCGTACGAGGTGGTGCAACACGTGGACGCTGCGGAGTACTTCGCACTCCCGTATACCTCCCAGCTACGGACCCTAATGGACCATCTACCTTTATACAGGTAAAGCCTTTTTTGTTATTCAGTTCAATTTAGACACAAAAAAATATAATGATAGATAAGGACAGTCCCCCATAAGATCAAGTAGAAAAACAGTGAAAGTAGATAGCTATGGAAAAGGACCCTAATTGAAAAGCACATATCTTTCACCTACTTTATCAAGGCAACTCATACTCATAGATATATTTACACACAAGATATAAACAAGAGAAAACGGTGTCAAACAAAGTAAATGTTATATTGGTGGATTAATGATGTAGACTCGGATTGGTTTTCGACTTTATTTCAAATGGATCTAAGGACAGAACACACGACATGCCAAATATGACAGATCGACAGCGCGCTCCGTGACATCTGTTGATCTTATATAGCACAATATAGCGAGGGGGGGGCATCACTTACTAAACTAGTGATGTTATATACATGTAATAGAAACAATACTTATTACAATTTACAACCATATTCTTCAAATCTTAAAGGAATTTATTAGCTTAGGTATTAAAACTCTAGAAGTTCAAGGTTTAATCACAAACCGCTTTACCAAACTAGGTTTAGAGCAACCCTAAATTTCGCAGACCTGTACCTAAAGGTCATAACTATAAAACGTTTGGCAAGCTCGATTAAAATAGATTACATTGTCTATAACAATGGCGAAGTTTTGAGGTTATCTCTGAAAGACCGTTATATTACAATATCTGATCTTCTGGAGCTGATGTAACAGTGTCGGCTTCCACGTGTTTTTGGAAACTGATATTCAAGATTATTGTCAGAAATATATTTTTGACTGAGAGGGTAATTCATTCAATACGTAGTTTACAAGCCGTAATAGAATGTTTAAAGTGTCAATCTTGATAAAAACGGCATATAATTTCAAAAGAGTCACTGAAATAAGCTATCTGGAGTCCCTACCTAAGAAGGTTAGGCTTTATAAATTTGTCATTGCATTAATTTTTAATAGTAAGCATTTTTTTGAATAACGTTAATTTTGTTTCAGATTCATTATGCTTTACCCAGAAGAAGAATACGAGGACTTACAGTTCTCATATTCAGAAGCAACAGTTGCTACCAATCCTTAAATTAGACAACATCTTGTTTAAAAAAGTTCGATTACTATCCAATCCAATCAAACCCAATTCAAATAAAATAAAATTATATTATCTATGACATAAAATATCATTTGACAGCTATCACTTTTAAACATCGAACGTTCAAAAAAGAAAATAATAAATTGAAAGACTAAACATTAAACGTTGCCAGAAAATTAAAAAAAGAAAATCATTGTTTTTATTATTACGTACTTTTGTAATATTTTAACTGATGTTAAAAAAAGTAAAATATTGGCCATTTTTGTAATAAAGAGAATTATAAATTGTTCATAAGCTAATACCGTGTATTCTCTAAATTATTAAGCAGATTTAATAGGAAAAATACTATTTACCGTTTACGACACGACCACGACACGACACAAAAAAGTAGGTAATGGATATTTTGATTTTTACGTATAAATATGTTTTGGTATTGTGTATTTTTATGTCACTTTTACAGCAGTTAAAAGAAATTGTTATTTTATTGTTAAAACAAAATAAAATTTGTATTTTTTAAACTGTAGTAAAAATTATGTATTTAAGTTAAACTTTTGTACTTTTATAAATTACGTTAATTCTAGTTTCAGTTTCAATTAGCAGTAAGCATTGAATTTTATTGATAAATAAATTGAAATCAAATGTTACTCATTTTTGTTTTAAGTACCGTATTTCTATATTTTTGTATTGTAGACGACCTTGAAGTTGAAGTCTCTATTACTATCTTAACTACACATGCTTCTAACCTAATACCCCGTCGCTAAACAACTTTCTTAAATAACAAAAATTAAATCGTCACGACTAAAAGTCCTCAAAATTAGCCATTACAACGCCTCAACATTATAGGGCTTTCGAAAAAATAATTAAAAGTACCGTTTTAGTACCAGCGAGAGCGATAATTTATCCGGGTCACTGCTGCCGGTTAAAAAACCGGACGAGGATAAAAATGAACGGGTATTAATCCCCAGGCGAAAATTGGGGATGTTGAGGGGAATTTATAAAAACCCGTGGAATTAATACAATGTCAGTATGAATGTTGGCACAACTCAATTATTTTTTAAATAAAATTATTTTTGTGTAATACTTACTTACCCTTGTATTGGATAATAGGGTTGTCAATGAGTAGTTTGGACTGGAACTTACCTGGAAAAAAGAAAAAATAAATATGTATTAATATTTGCTATTAAGATACCTCGTATAATTTTAAACAATAACTAATGTTCAATCATCAATATTATGTTTTATGTGGCTAAACACCGACTTATACATTTTGAATATTTATATTTAGATATAAAAATATTGTATATCACGCTACGAAATGTTTCCGGAAATAAACCCATTACTTATTAACCCCCTTTTAACAGAAACGTGTCAAACATTTTTCTGTGAATTCCTGAAAACAGCCAGCCCGCGAAAAGTAACTCGATCTTAATGAAACAAACGTAACTCCATTCCTCAACTGTTTCAATAGAAAACAGAAGTTTGTGAACTTTCAGAAATATTTCACGAGTCTAAATGAACTGGTGAAGGTTTCCTAAATGATGTATTTCAGGCTGAAAGCCGGGGGAAAGGTTTTGGTTTCGTTACAAATATATTTACAATGACGCGTAGAATTTTTTAACTTGCTTTGTTCGTAAAAATGCCAGAACAAAGTGAAAACCATTTGAAAGTCATCACCGTACGGCTACATACGATTTTGCATAGGTAGGTACAATTAATTACTGAAAAGAAACTCCTAAACCTTTAATGCCGTCGCGGAGAACCTAACGGGTAACCGGGGCTCCGGCTCGACGTGCAGGAGAAGGAACGGGGTGGTTTTTAGTCAGTAAGAGTCTGTCACTCCCTTCCGCCTCACCCAGGCGGGAGCAGTCATTCGATGATTTTCCACCCTTAAAAAAATTAATGCTGATATTAATTAAGAAATTCAAACATCTACGAAGTACTAATCAAACCGAATAACCTAAAAATTATTGTACAATAACTAAGATCGAATTCAAAAACTACACATTTGCAACAACACAACCGACAACCCAACCGACAACATAGGTACCTTTATACTCCAAAAAACCAAAGAAAATAACAAAGCATGCAACAATAAACTCAAGCTATTAAGTTCAAGCTTCCACCCTTCAAAGGCAAGCCAAAGCATGTCACTACAAAAAAGACAACGGCCTACCAACCTCCCTACCACATAATTTAGGAGGCTTCCATTCACACAAAAGCCATACACCACACAACATTAATTTGCTTCATCATTAGCCACTGAATTCTATTCATTACAGCCTACAGAAGCCTTTTGCTGGCTGAAAGAACGTTTCAGTAAGGTATGAGAGGGTATATTATGCTGCTTTATGCTTTGAAAGCGGTGCAAGCTATGCGATGTGAGCGGGGAGTTCCCGGAACCTCTATTATTAACTTTTTTAAGTTCGTTTCCGATATGGTAATTATGGTGTGTCCATACTCATAAATTGTTTATGTAATTTAAATTGATAAAAATTGTAATGTAAAATGTCTGACTCCTCTGGTGTTGGGGGTGTTCATGGGCGGCGCTATCAGCGCCATCAGGTGATCCATGAGCAAAGGAGTAGACCCGTTTGCTACTTATTCCATAAAAAAAAATCCTATTGCAAACCTTGCCTATAGAAAAACTTTAAACAAAAAGCTATATTCCAAAACTACAAAATTCTAACAATCCTACCGATCCCTTCAACAATACAATCATAATATGATTTTAAATAATAACTGAGGGAGTACTCCACAAAGCATGAGTACCGTCACGCGTAACCAATTCACAGTTTATGTGAATTTCATTCAGAAATAATTGCCAGGCGGTCTCGATCATAAAGAGGGTAGTCAATTTAAATGTTACGTCCTCTTAGGGACTCTTAAACTTCATCGAAGGCTTTTGAATAAGAATATTGTTAGTATTTCAGAATTTTAGGCTCAGAATTAAAATATCTCTTTCGAGAAACATAATTTCTATTATTTCCCTTAAAAGCTAAGTAAGTCACATCTACATATTATATTATTTACAGTACGAATTATAAGTTGTTCTACACTAGGTCTTATGAAACAGAACTGATCTTAAGTCTATGATAAACAGAATCCTAATATCCTTAGAAAAATTTCATTAACTAATTATTCAACACACACATTGAAAAAGATACAATCCTCGGCGGCAATTCCGATAACCATATTGCAGAGACAGAAACGATAGGTCTTTTATCTCAATAACTAGGCTATTCTACATATAACATGTCGAACTCCCGAAGTGAGCTCGATCACAGTTCGCCATATCAAATAATCTCGACCAATGACATGGCAGACCAATACCCTAATTGCCGTCAAAATCAAGAATTGTAATTCCACTTAAATACTAAATATTGTAGAGCACATTTATAAACGTTTTACTTCAAAACAAAGATTGCAAGTCATTCAAAAAGCGAGTAACAATATTCTCAATTCTATGGTACTATGGGGACCGTAAAACCGTTCCACATTTACACCGATTTTATACTTTACGATAGCACGGCACCAGATTATTTTCATTCGACAATCGTAAACGCGGCCAGAATTTTAATTGCACCCTTATCATGGGAATTTTCCATGAAATACGGTTTCTATTCAAACTTAGGTACTTGAAACCATCAGTTTTGGTTCTGACTGAACTGTTGTATAATTAAGGCCCGATAAGATGCTTCTGAATAGACAATCTCTTTTTGCAATTTGTAGCTTCACTATCAGCAACTAAGTAATTGCACAGACACATCGAGTATAGGTACGGTCAAAGGTCAAAAGTCCACTGCCACCGTAAGACTACTATCGGTTGCGCTGCAGCGCTAATACACACATGCACACGTATATTTTTATCCGTGTGCGTACGCGTGCGTGTGTTTATGCGTACGCACACGTTTTTATGCACATTAATATGAAATTACTTACGCATTGCCGTGTGTACATTATTCACGGTGGTAGTGGACTTTTGAACTTTGACTGTACATGGTCATGCCAATAATACTTAGACGCAGTCCCCCACTTCTGACTGAAGTAATTTCAAACAGAAGCCTGAATACCTAGACAAATGACTGTCACTTTGAAACCATTACTATTTTATAGTCATTCACATTCGAATCTAATTACAAGTCATGATGTGATAGTACAGATGCTAACGTCCATTATATATTCTAACTTATGACACAATCATGATCATCAAAAGACATAAGGCTACTATACTCCCTTCAACGTCAATCGTTGTAAAAAAATAGATTCAAAATCATACGCTCAAGTATCAATTTTGATTGTCACTTCCTCGGAGGGGTAGGATCACTCTATTTTATGGTCTGACACAAAAGATTAAGTCGGACAGTTGACTCAACAGGTGGATTTAAAGACTCGCTCACACGTCCTTTTTATACCGAATTTATAACTTCTAGCATACTCCTGGATATTCTACAATCTATTTACTAGTAGGAACTAATCTTTGCTATTAAGTTGAATATCAAATAAAGAATAATTATCTGTCTGCTCCAAGAAACATTCCAAACCTGGTGTTAGGTACTTTAATGGCAGATTTCATCAACCACCCCTAAATCATGCCTTAGCTAAGAGTTATTTAGCATAACGTAGTCCCTTAACTAACCCCTTACTTTTACTGTTATATGTGACTTTCTTTTTCATGATAAACGAGCAGAACGATATTTACCTGATGGTAAGCAATCGGCGCTGCCCATGGACACCCGGAGCACCCGAGGCGTTTCAAGTTCGTTACCGGCCTTTTGGGCATTAGGAATAACACCGCTTACATATAGATTAGTGTAAAATGTACCATAGCTTAGTGGATCCTTAAAATTTAAAAGAGGTTGGTAAAATATGTACGTCCTGCGTATCCTATACTATGAAAAGAAAGACTAAAGCACCCTGTCTGCGCACTTACTCTCTATATAAAGGGATGAAGTTACAATGAAGTACTTCAAATTCTGTCGAGAAGCGACGCG